GCATTGATTTTGAATGATATCTTTGCTGAGTAGAGTATCCCAGGGCTCAAATTGTTTTCTTTCATTGCTCAAATTACCTCACTCCATGCCCTTTCTTTTAATGATTCTGTTGCAAAATCTGCTGTTATTTTCATGGGTTTCCCTTTATATTTTACTTGATTTTTCTCTCTTACAGCCTTCAGTATTCTTTCCTTGATCTTTGTGCCTGTTTTTTAAATGACAATGTGCTCTGAAGAGGCTTTATTTTGGTCATGTTTGTTCACTGTGGCTATTTGAGGATTTTATTCATCTGTTATCTTCTACCTGACTCAATTGCTGTGCTATTACTAGGTTAGTTTAGAGCTAGGTTGATGTTCTCTTTCTGTTTCCTGACCTGGCAATATAAATCAGCAAAAACAAATTCACTGATTCAATGCCAGACTAGTTATTTTCAAAATATGTAGAAAGCCCCTTGGTGCTATTATCTATAAGCTGTGGAAATTGGACAGATAACAGTTGTTTCGGTAGAGCAAGTTACTTAAAAGAGCTGATGCTAGAGAAAGGGGCAGAAAGGGGGGAACGGTTAAGGGTGAAAAGGGTGTGAGGCATAGTGATTCTAGGGTACTAAGTCTCTGATGTGTGTTGAGGTATAGTCCAGTTGTTGTGGGAGAAAGTGCTGTTGCCAGGGATTGCCTAAGGGATAGGAAGGACAAGGTAACATGTTAAGTTAGTATAATAGACTACTCAGTGGGTGGTACGTATTGAAGAGGATGGGGTAGTAGGGAACTGGTGCAGGGGAGGAGAGGAAGTTGAGGAGGAGAGAGGAAGGGAGGGAAGATGAAAAGGGAAGAGAAAGAAAAATTGGAGAGAGCAAAAAGTGAACAATAGAGGGCTGAGTGATTTAGTGTTTGGACAGAATGGAATAGGGAGTTAGTCAACAGTAAGATGGGAGGAAGAATAAAGACAAAAATTAAAATTTTAAATTAAAAACTAAAATAAAAAGATGTATTTATGTATATACATCTTTATCATATATATATAATGTCAGTTCAATGAGTGTTCTGTACTCTTTCCTCTGATTTCAGGTTCAGGTAGTGACTTTTCTTTATAGGGGCAAGACATTCTCTCTCCTTAAGATGAGCATATTGGGTTGCATGGCAGTGAATATTGGCCTTCCCTATTGAACTACATTGAGGGGACTTGGCTCTGGGTATTTGAGCCCGGGCTACCTTATTGGGATGGGGGCTCTGGCACAGGTGCATTCTCAGAAGTGGTTCCATGAGGGACTGGTAAATGAGCAGTCATCAACACCTTCCACTCACAGGACAAGCCTGTGAGTTAGAGATGAGCTTTTCTTCTGGGGAGACTGTCAGTTTCAGCTTGCTCCTAGTTTCTTCAAAACAGTGCAATGCCTGGTTTTCACCACAGTGCTGCTGAGTCACCCTACCCCCACATGGGCATTTTCAGCCCTTATTCTGCTCCTCCCCCCACCAGCCAGAGGGGAAATGTTCCCACCATTTTTTTTGGACCACCTTGTTCTTTTGGGGGGGGTGGTTTGCAATCAGCTCCCCAGTTTTGCTAGAATTTGTGGTTCCCTCCAAAACAGATAATGGTGTTGTGTTTACCCATCTGTTTTCAGATTGGCTGTAGTGAAAACAGGTTAGGTACAGGACAGTACAGGCAGGCAGCAAACTAGAGTTTTGTGTCTGCCCATGTTTGGTGGGTCCCAGTCTTCCCAGATGCTTGCAACTTTCTTTGTGCAGCTCTCTGCATTCCATTATTGTTGTTGAGATTGCAGGCATACTAAGGCAGGGATAGTTCTATGCAGGTAAACAGCAATTGGAGGTTCCACACATATTATGGCAGGTTCAGGTACTCCCAGATGCTTGCAGGCCTCTTTCTGCACTTCTGTGTGTTGTGTTTTAGCTTTACTGACCCAGGGTATAGGGAATTAAGAGAGAAAAAGAAAAAAACAAAGAAAGTAAAAAATCAGGGGGAGAGGGAGGAGGGGAAGGGGTGAGAAATGACCCAAACATTGTATGCACATATGAATAAAAGAAATAAAAAGAAAGTAAAAAATCATTGGATAGGAAAAAGGACCAGGAACTACAGAAAAGGTTAGATTAAAAAGAATTAACCTAGAAGGTAACACACATGCACAGGGAATTAATGTGAGTCAACTCCCTGTATAGCTATCCTTATCTCAACCAGCAAAAACACTTGTTCCTTCCTATTATTGCTTATATTCTCTCTTCAACAAAATTAGAGATAAGGGCAAAATAGTTTCTGCTGGGTATTGAGGGGGTGGGGGAGAGGGAGGGGGTGGAGTGGGTGGTAAGGGAGGGGTGGGGGCAGGGGGGAGAAATGACTCAAGCCTTGTATGCACATATGAATAATAAAACAATAAAAATAAATAAATAAATCATTGGATGTCCAGGGATGCCTGCCCCTGTCCCTGGCTATTTCCTACCAGTGAACCACAGGCAGGCTGGCAGCTGCCTGACTCTGTGCCCAGTTGTTTTGCACTATAAAAAGTTAATTTAAGGGTAAGTCAATGAATATTATGTGCCCCCTATGTATTGATAGTATCTTGGCTGGCAGAAAAAGCAGTGTTAGCTGATCCTTGCTGCCATGAAAATCTGGACAATCTGTTTGAAATCATGCAGGTCAATGTCCCAGAGTCCATCAGGTATCCACCATCTTGGACCTCCTCTCTCCTTTTTTTTCTGATTGAAAATTTGCCATATCCCAGCTTATCCTAAGATTATCTTTCATTTTTATATGTCTTACATTTATACAGTTGGATCTTTTTTGCTTCTGGCTTTCTTTGTTTGGGCTGATGTCTTTGACCAGTTTGTGAAAGTTTTTGGTAATCACCATATAGCTCTTCAAATATTCTGTTCTTCCCATTCTCACATTTCCTTTTTCACTAGCATTTCAATTACACATAGGTAAGACTTTTCATTGCATCTCACATTTATTTTTCTCTTTGCAATTTAAGTATTTTGTTTTGATTTCTGTTTATTTTTTGGTGATACTGAGGGATGAATTTGGGACCTCATGTTTTTATATTGACTTAAATTACACTTCACTTTCAATCTTCTCATAAGGCTAATCTAATTTTAAACAAATCTGATTCCAGATTTTTAAATTCCAAAATGTTCATTTAATTGTTTTTATATATTCCAATATTCTTTTGAACATCTACATTTTATGGATGTACTACATTTTATTTCTACTATCTTCAATATACTATCATTGATGCTATAATATTATCTATATGTGCCCTTTTGATAATCTCTGGTTATATTCCAATCATTTTTCCATATTTTGATAACACATTTCAACCTTCTTTTTTGCATCTTGAATGTTATTTATTAAAAATTGTAAATTATATAGCTTGAAGTTAATGTTATTTTCCCAGAAGTGTCATTCATCTCACTATAAAATGAATATAGTGAAAGCAAATGTCTTTAAGATATTACTGGCATGTAGTGAATAGAGGTCTGTCCTACTACTAAACAATATGAAATTTACATGGAATTATTTGCTTCCAAATGCCAATAGAGCCAAAAATTACAAACCCTGCCTAAATATAAATGGAATTTTGGTAGTTTGAAGCTTATTTTCAGTCCTTATATGACTCAGTGTGTATCTGGCTCATTCATAGACATCTAAAATTAAAATTTAACTAATGTGTATTGGAAATGGAGGAAGTGAGCAGTGACTATAGTATGTAAAGTTTCCACTTTTGTGGAAGAAGGGTATCTAGTAGTGTTAGAATAGATCTGGATCATTTTCCTGATCATTAGCCATGATTAAAGTGCTGTGAAAATGTTTTTTGAATCCACTATCTATAATTGCTGAGAATAATAACTACTTGCTAGAAAGAGACTAATGCCTTTGACTCACCAATTTATTGTTACTGTTTTAAGACTTATTTCTAGATTCCAAATCCACAGGTTAGAGTCTTCCAGAACTTTCTATGATTTGCAAACATAAAATACATCATATATGCTCATTTAAAAAAATCCAGAGTGGTTTAGTATTTAGTTTTCTGCAATGAAATAACATCTGACAGACCATATAATATCACTCTTGTATTTGGGGTTAAATCATTTGTGGGTGGACTCAAATTCCTTTGTAATATTTAAAAATATAGCCAGTAGGAATAGCTAAAAAAGTTTGCAATTCTTTAAAAAATATAGTTAGACTGTTATATGGCCAATTCTGGTGAAATATTACAGCTTTCTTTTCCTCTACCAGATTAGGAAAAATAAGTAAGTATTTTAGTATTCTAAAAATACATGAAAACATGATACTTCCACTTAGTGATATTTTACTGTTCCTATTCCCATATCCAGAATCTTGAGACCTCTGCTTTAAGTCAATCAAGGAGTCTTAGATAATCTTAAACTCTTTCAGTTGTCTCCTATGGAAGTTTGAATAATTTAGCATATTTCCTAAAGTATCTAAAAATAATTGCCCCATTAATCTCTTCAGCATCACTCCTGCCACTCTCAAACTGATTTTCTGTAGCTACTTAATTCCTCTTTACAGTCTACAAATTTGTCAGCATCATAAAATCTTTATGTTTATTCTCCCAGACAGAGTTTTTCTCCCCAGATAATTCATTGATAAATGATTTTTTTTCCCAAATCATCTTGGTATGAGCTAAGTACCACTTAACAAAAACTTACTTACAAGCAAAAGTAAGATAAGTAACACCTCTCTAATCAATCTACAGCATAACACTATTTTGATTTACAGCAGAGCAATAGCACTTTCTGTTACAATTTTTTTCTAGTTTAATAGTGTAAGCTGTCTTTATCCAGTTGAATACAGCCCTAGGAGTCACATAATCTTACTTGTCTTATCCATTTGCTTAGAATTATGTCAGGAAATCAGAAGTATTTGACACATATTTGCTAAAAGACCAATTCAATGCATGTATGAAGACACAATTTAATTGATTCCACTGGATTTTCTTTTTGTTTGCTTTTCTCATTCCTTTATTCCACTTAGCAAACCACATAGTGAGTTAGCATCTTCCTCATGGAGGCTTTCACTTCTTGATTTCTAAGTGTATAAATCACAGGATTCAGCAAAGGAAAGATGACAGTGTGGAAGAGAGAAACAACTTTGTCAGCTGCCAATGCCTGGAAGGGGTGAGTGTAGATAAAAATGGCAGGTCCAAACATGAGAAACACAATGATAACATGAGTGATGCATGTAGAGACAGCCTTGTTCTTCCCTTCTGAGGACCGTCCCTTTACATGACAGAGGATGACTGCATATGAAGACAGAAGTCCCAGGAAGCACAGGAGGGTGAGAAGGCCACTATTAGAGACCATTAGGAGTTCCACTACAAAGGTATCAGTGCAAGCCAGTTTGATGACCTGTGGGACATCACAGAAGAAGTTATCTAGCTGGTTTGGACCACAAAAAGGCAAGTATAAGATAAGGGCCACTTGTACAATGGAATGGGCAAAGCCTCCAAGCCACAGAGCCAACAATAATGCACAGCAGAGTCTAGGGTTCATGAGGGTTGAATAGTATAAAGGATGACATATGGCAATGTAGCGGTCAAAGGCCATCACAACAAGAAGAAACATCTCTCCTGCTCCAAGGAAGTGCAAGAAAAAAAGCTGAGTGATGCAGCTTCTATAGGAGATTACCTTCTTCTCAAAGAGGAGATCCACCAGCATCCTGGGAGCCACAATGAAGGAGTAGGAGACATCTAGGAAGGCCAAGTTTCCCAGGAAGAAATACAGAGGGGCTGTAAGTCCATGATCTAATCTTATGGTGAAAATTATGAGAAGATTTCCAGGAAGGATTATGAGGTAGAAAACTGAGAGTAGCACAAAGATTAGGAGTTGAGCATCCTGAGACTGGGTCAGACCAAGCAGGATGAATTCTGTTACCAGTGTGCTGTTCTGTGTTTCCATCATTTCTCAATCTGAAGAATAAAGCAAAATGTTTTGTCAGTTATAAACACCTTTTCCTTTATTTCAAAAATCTATTCCATATGAAACAAAATTTGCCTCTATGAACTTATGCCTTATAATTCACCTGTGTCTTAAATTTTACCTTATATCCTAATTCTTCACTAATATACAGATCTTCAAGCAAAATTTTCATTACCATTTAACTATGTGTTTCTAAATATGTTCATGTAAGATTCTGGGTCACTGTGATTGAAGTATGTTTGGAATTTCCTGGTTAAAGCAAAACTTAGCCATCATCAAGGTTGTTCTTGTTATTAGTGGTAGTTCACTGTTTGTAACTGTTACATTGATCTACGGGGTTTGTTACATTCTCTCCATCCTCACTGAACAAACTGGTGCTGCATTTGTTTCTCTCCTTCATTTACTAGTTCCTGATAACCACTTTCTGTTTGTTTTCTGAATTTATGCTTTCCAAGGTCCAGATGCTGTACATTACCACTCCAAACCAACCATCAAAATTTTAAGCAAGATCTATACTTTTCACCTAACTAGAAGTAATTTCCTAGTTACAACTCTCGCTAGATCCCAGCAGTACATCTCATCCACATCTTGTTCTTAAGTTCTGATTTATACTTACCAAGATTCACTTAATTAGCACATAGCCATGATCTATTTTTTCTTCACATCTCAAAATGTTACACAAATGATATCTTACTATTATTTTTGCATTGTACATTATTTTTTCAGAACATATAAAAGATTTTGACTATCTGGACTAATAAAATTAAAGCATAATAGAATAGAAATTGACCATACACAGCAAATATCCTATTATAATCTTTTGAGAGATGAGAAAACTAAAGCAATTGAAATTAGGTTTTAATTATACAATGAATGAATTTATTTCTTTGTCTCATTATTAAGTGATATAAAAAAACAGCTGTGCATTCCTCTGTTTAAAGTGATTAGGAAATTGTCAATAGTTTTTCCTTGACTGGTGCTATATCATTTATTGACTTAAATAAAAATTCATGATACTATTTGTGTAAATATTTCCCCTTCAGTGGCTATAATTTTGTCTAAATAAGAGTTATAGTCATAAAATCCAAAAGTAAGATTTACTCTGTATACTGGCCTCCAGAGAACCACCATGTTTTTCCAGTTGATTCACAAGATAATTCCATCCTGTGCAAAAACAGTGAGACTTCTCTCTAGTATTATACACTGTATTAAAAATGTGCTGTCTTTGAATTTTTGTGTTACTATAATTGTACAAGCACATTTTTTTTTGAAAAATTGTAAAAGATGCTGATTTCTAAAAGGATTTATAGACTTGCAGTTACACTTACAGTACAAAATCTTTTTTTTCCTCATTCAGAGCAGCTTTATTCACAAGAATCAAGAGGTAGAAGCAATCCAAATGCCCACTGAGAGAATAATGGTTTAAAAAAATGTGGTACATACATACGATAGAGTATTATTCAGCTTTTTTTTTCATTTTTCTTTTATTATTCATATGTGCATACAAGGCTTGGTTCATTTCTCCCCCCTGCCCCCACCCCCTCCCTTACCACCCACTCCTCCCCCTCCCTCTCCCCCCTCAATACCCAGCAGAAACTATTTTGCCCTTATTTCTAATTTTGTTGTAGAGAGAGTATAAGCAATAATAGGAAGGAACAAGGGTTTTTGCTGGTTGAGATAAGGATAGCTATACAGGGCATTGACTCACATTGATTTCCTGCAAGCACATTATTAATAAGCAAACACCCACATTGTAAGACTGTTCATTTCACTGTCTGAGTGGATGATTTAAAAGATAAAATATTGCTAATTCAAAAAATTACTATAATTTTACAAATAAAAACATTGACCGTGATTTCATGCTGGGCTCTGATGGTTGATGCCTGCAATCTTAGCTATTCAGGAGGCAGAAATCAGGAGGATCGAGGTTTGAAGTCAGCCCAGGTAAATAGTTCACTAGACCCGATCATGAAGATACCCATCACAAAAAAAGACTGGTGGGGTGATTCAAGGTGTAGGCCCTGAGTTCCAGGCCCAGTGTCACAAAAAAAGATTTTATTGTATCTAATATTTATTTTGAAAAAGCGATATGGATGCAGTAGAATGCAAATTTGGCAATAAAACTAATGAATTTCTTTTTTATTCTACAGCATAAATGAGCCCCAAGAACATGCTATGGAAAAGGACACAGTCACCAATCCTAATTTATGTGAAATGTCCAGAAAAGAAAAACTTATAGAAACAGAAAGTGGAATCAGGATTTCCTAGGGCTAGCAGTGAGATAGAGAGTAATTTAATGTATGTGAGGACTTTTTCAGTCTAATGAAAATATTTTAGAAATATTTCAATCACACAATTCTCTAAAAAAACTTTAATCCACTGAATTATGCACTTTAAGTCAAAAACTTTGTCAACATTTTCCAATCATGCTATGGAATATGAAGGGTACTAGACTGGGATAAATCCCTAATTAAAATTTCACAGAAATTATTAATAACATACCTATATAGAGGAGCTAAGAAGAGAAAAATAAGGGAAAGAATAAGGAAAAAATTAAGCTTTAAAGTCCCAAGTGAATTCATTGGAGATTTAATTAACACATTGCATTACTTTTTAGTTTTATTTTATTTGGTTTTATTGTTGTGCTGGGTGCGGGTACATTGTAGCATTACAATAGTTTTTACAGTATACCAAAATGTATCATACTTGAATTCACCTCCTCCACTAAGGAAACATCCAAAGTTTGATAGGTCTGTTAACATTTGTCACCAATAGACAAATGTTATGGAACAAGTACTAAAAACACAGAACCACATATCTGTAGATATTCACATGTGTATAAGCACACACATAGTCACTCTAAACAAACTGAAATAGGAAAAATACTAGATCCCCTTAATTGATGTAGGAGCTTCCCTCTCTTTTACCCAACTACATACTTACTCACCTTTGTTTTCATACCCTATGCTGGCAGAAAGCTGCACTTAGGAAATCTGAAACTCCCCATCCTATTTTTGCATGTTTTGTATTTCAGTGTTTAGCTACTTTTAATTATCTCCTGCTCTTCTAGGGTCACAATTCCAAGAAACATGGAATATCTGAGAGATGAAATCTCTCTCCTTGTTCATTTACTTTTAATTTATAGTATCCATTTCTCATCCCTGTCACCTAACATATGGAATTCCATACCATTTAATGTCTTTGTTAAATTTTCTGCCCCCATTCATTTTCATTTTCATACTCTGTGTTCTAGTGATTCTTAATTGTGCTCATCACAAAGAATGAGAACAGATTTGTATTGAATGGACATATCTCTCTACAAAATGAGCTCCTGGGGATAAAATCCAAATAACGCCTCTGACAAGGACATATGTTTGTTCTAGTTGGGTGAGACAAAGATGTATTTTTAGTGTAGGCTAACATGGAAGTTGTAGGCTCTCCATTTCTGACCTTTCTTGTTATTTAAACTAATTCAAAATACATCTTACACTGCAGAAGCATGGGCAGAAAGGGTGCCCATATGCCTCCTCTCTTTCTCAGAGTTCAATCTCATAAGTGTTTGCAGACAAAATTATACTCCTCAGTTATCAGTTGCTATCAGACTAAATCCCAAAGCCAGGGGATCAGGGACATTATCTCTTTTCTACTCACTCATCATTCCTATTTTCTTCTTTTTGCTTCTTTCTGTTTTCTCATCTTGTTTCATTCGTGTCCTGCTAATTATATGTTTGTTCATTCATTTTCTTACATTCTTTTATGTTTTCTTTTAATTTTATTGTTTCTTTATCCTTTTTCTTTTACAATTTATCTACCTATTTCTCTCTTTTCCTCCTTTTTATGTCATATTCTTCATTACTTTCCCCTATTGACTCTCTCTCTCTCTCTCTCTCTCTCTCTCTCGGTGGTACTGGGGTTTGAACTCAGGACTTCACACTTACTAGGCAGGCACGCTACCATTTGAGCCATTCTGCCAGCCCACTTCCTCTGATTTGAAAGAGTAAAACATATGCATTTGTAAGAATGTGGATTCTTTTAATCATCAGTATTTTTTACTTTGCTCTCTACGTGCATCTCCCTTCCTTATGTTCAATCCTAAGGCAATGGATTGTTTCATCATTCCAAAGCAGAGTAAGCACAGATGCTTCCCAGAAAACTCTGCTGAATTTTCTACAGGTTGGAAATGCTTACCTTACTCTTCAGGGTTGATCCTTTCCTGCTGAATATGCTTCCTTTTGAAATTTACTCATCAAAATCACACATTAATCTTTCACATTCTCTCACATATTTTGGCCATTTCCAACTCATCTTGAGACAAACGAGATTTGTTTTAATGTAGAGCTCTGGATTGATATGTATTCTTCCTTTCTAAATGACGAATTATAATCGCAGTTCAGTCCATGTATAATTTTAAGCAAGACATTTAGTCTTAAATTTTGTATTTTTGTATGTAACAGAGAAACAACACACCCACTATCCTTATTCCACAGAGTAGACAGTATATCAAAACCAAATGATATAATTAGTATACACTCCATGTCTGCTTATATTGAACTTGGGAAGAAGTCAGTGATTAGATAAATAAGAGTAAAACATGAAAACTGGACACAATATCAGTGGATTTTCCTTAATTGCCCTGGTATTGATCCTAGGGTCTCAGAAGGATCTACACAGTTTTTCTTAATTAACACAGGATTTGAAAATACAATCATTCTTATTTTCAGATTTATAAGTAGCATTCTTTCATTGTTCTATACCAAGATCCTGTACAACAGTAGAAACACAATTTAGCTGAATGTGGGTTCCATATAGTTGCAAACTTGTGAAGTCAGTAAAGTTTGGAGATTCCCCCTACACTTTCTTATTTATTCTGATCCCCAATTTCATTAACTTTTTATGGGGTGATAAGTCATTTGTATTATGGAAAAATTAATATCTAGATGATGAAACTCTAAGAATGTTTTCATTTTTATTATAAAGGT